AGTGGAAGTTGCTTTGTTTACTTTTTTGTGTGTTTCCCTTTAATTTTTAAAATCTTTTTCATGCTCATTTTTGTTGTGGAAGAAAAATGGTATTTTTTATGTTTTATAAGATAGGGTCTTGCTCTGTCACCCAGGCTGGAGTGCAGTGGTGTGATCATAGCTTACTGCAGGCTTCATGGGCTCAAGCAATCTTCCTGCCTCAGCCTCCTGAGTAGCTAGGACTATAGGCAAGTGCCATTACGCCAACTAATTTTATTTTTTGTAAAAACAGTCTAGCTATGTTGCCTAGGCCTCAAGTCTTGGCCTCCCAAAGTGCTGAGATTACAGGTATGACCCATCACACCCAGCCAAAATGTTTTTTAAAAGCTAAAGATTACATCACACAGGCTTAGACCCCTCAGGATTGAAGGTTTAGTAAACCAAGTAAATACCACCATTAACTAAGGTTAAAAAAAAGACATTTTAGGAACATTATAATGACCAGTTATTGCCTTATGACCAGTTACCTAACTAAGCAAGAGTCATAGTCTCTACCAGAATTTCTCCTTTTACTGTATCATACTCTTGTTTTCTCTTCTCCCAATATTTTATATAGAATGTTCAGGGATACATTTTAAGTTTTAGTTTATGTATTGGAAAATTTGCAGGTAAGACTCCAGACACTGCACTTGGAGTTGAATGCAACTATTCACAAAATTTTAGGTTGTCTTTCTTTGGGGTGGCCATAAAGCAGTACAACGTGCAGGTCACTGGAGACCTTGACAAGAGCAGTTTCAGTAGAATGATGAGAGGGAAAGCTTGACAGAAATGAATTAAAGAGAATGTGTGTAGAGGAACTGCAGACAGCAGGCATAAGTAACTCTTTCAAGACATGTTGCTGCAAAGAATGAGGACATGGGGTAGCATGTGGACAGTAGCGCAGTGCATAGTGATTACGGATTTTACTGTCCCATATCCATTCTACCTTCTTTGGTACATCAATTTATCTTCAAGGAGCTACTTCTCCCTCACTATATACTTGTTTTGTGGGACCAACAGCTGCACTCAAGCTGTAAGTGTTGCTGGAGAAAAATACATAAGCATGCTTAACTGGTTTCTCTATAAATTGATGGTACAACTGTCAAATGAGAATCAAAACTACCAAGTGCTTCTCTAGTTTGTTTGCTTTCCAACTTTTCAAATGACTGTCTCATTTATTATCTCTCCTCAAAGCCCCACTACTCACTCCTCCTCACTTTCAGTTGGTAACTTTGCCTCTAAGTAACTAGAAAAAAGAAACAACATTAAAAGTTTCTTGGCAGGGCACCGTGGCTCGCGCCTGTAATCTCAACACTTTGGGAGGACGGAGGACGAGGCAGGCAGATCACTTGAGGTCAGGAATTCAACAACAGCCTGGCCAACACGGTGAAACCCTGTCTGTCTGTACTAAAAATACAAAAATTAGACGGGCGTGGTGGCAGACGCCTGTAATCCCAGCTGCTCAGGAGGCTAAGGTAGGAGAATCGGTTGAATCTGGGAGGCAGAGGTTGTAGTGAACCGAGGTCGCGCCACCGCACTCCAGCCTAAGCAACAAAAGCGAGACTCAGTCTCAAAAAAAAAGAGAACACATACAACAAAAAGACATACATTAAATACATTACAGTGATTGCCAGTGATAGGTGAATGAATGGGAGTGGGAATAGGGAAGAAAAGTAAAAATAAAACGAGAAGCTGTGTGTACTAACCAGAATACACCAAAAAATTGAGGAGTATGAGGAACTCAGGAGAAAAAGGAAGCAACTCAGCTTATCTTGTCCTTGACAAGATGCTGATCTAACAAAGTGCTGGTCCCTAATTCCAGCCCTAAAGATGACACACAAGAAGAAAGTTGATGGAAATAATAAAATCTAACACTTATGCAGCATTTACCATATGCCTTTACCATATGCCAGGAACTATTAACTTATTTAATCTTAGCAGCCAATGCTATGAGATAAATACAATTATTCCCATTTTATAGATGAGAAAACTACTGAGGTGAAGCAACTTGCCCAAGATTATACAGCTGGTAATGCTGAAACTGGGATTTGAACTCAGTCTAGATAGAACAGAGAAACCTAGAGACAGGAAACAGTGAGTCTGGGGTAGGAATGGAGGTCAGGGAAGGGTAGCCTAAGATGAAAGAAGAGGGGTTTCCATGGACAGAGAAACTAGAGGTGAAATGTGTAATTGTGCCCTTTCTCCTCCAACACTGCACCAGGAAGATCATCTGCCACCTCGTCGCCACAGCAAGACAAAGAACATCTGTGCCAAGCCAGCCGGAGGTGGATTCCATTGAGGCAACACTGAAGCCCAGTTGGATGGGGGAACATATTACATGTACAGACACACAGGCCACCCTGAAATCTCAACTCTACACCTTCAGCTAGTCAATACAACCTACACTTTCAAGGCAAGGATTTGGCCATATGTTCCTTGAGGAATTCCTTCCAAGAAAAAAAACCCTGAAAAAATTGACATCAGGTTATTTTATTGTTTTCTGTTGTTGTAACTGAGAACCTGGGACTGGGTAATTTATAAAGAATTTATTTCTAATATTTCTGCTTGCCGAAAAGTCCAAGGTCAAGGGGTCACATCTGGTGAGAGCCTCCTTGCTGGTGGGGACTCTGCAGATTGCCGAGTCTCAAAGCAGTGCAGGGTATCACATGGTTAAGAAGCCGAGTATGCTAGCTCAGGTCTCTTCCTTTTCTCATAGTCACCAGTCCCAGTCCCATGATAATCCATTAACTCATTAATCCATGAATCACTGAAAATTAAGTTTCAACATGGGCCAGGCATGGTGACTCATGCTTGTAATCCCAGCACTTTGGGAGGTAGAGGTGGACAGATCACTTGAGGTCAGGAGCTCTAGACCAGCCTGGCCAGCATGGTAAAACCCCATCTCCACTAAAAATACAAAAATTAGCCGTGCGTGGTGGCATCTACCTGTACTCCCAGCTACTCGGGGATGCTGCAGCAGGAGAATTGCTTGAACCTGGGAGTTGGAGGTGGTGGTGTGCTAAGATTGCATCATTGCACCCCAGCCTGGCCACAAGAGTGAAACTACATCTCAAAGAAAAAGTTTTACAACATGGATTTTGGGGGGGACATTCAAACCATAGCACAGGGGTTCTCCAACGAACAGCACCCATGATGAAGCTTAGTAAAAGCCCTCAGAGCTTATAAACATGTTAGTCCCCTCTTCTAATCATGAGCACAGAGCCAAAACTTTCCAGTTATTTGAGGAAAGCCCCTAACAAGAAGTTTTAAGTAGGAAAAAACAATAGTAACTTCAAAGGAAAAAAAACCCACTCTGCAGGAAGCAAATTTTAGGACCTTAAAAATTACTATCCTTAGAGAGCTTACTATATAAAACTACAGTAATCAGGCCAGGTGCAGTGGTTTACACCTGTAATCCTAGCGCTTTGGTCTATTGGCTGAGAAGGGCACACACAACTTTCTGGAGCAATGTTCTGTAATTGCATTTCTCAAGACTGACTGAACTGTACATAAGATCAGTACACTTTACCATATTCTTTAAGTGCTACTCATTCCTCAGGGGATAAGCCACAAATTCAACGTAAGGACATAAGGGCTAAACTTTAACACCAGATACTGACGAGGGCAAATAACCTCACACATTGTTGGCTAAGCGTTTCCCAAATTACTACTTTGGACCAAATGCCTGGCCATGTCAAAAATCTATCCTGAATCAGCAATTCCATTATCTGTTTTCATCTCAGTAATTACAAAAACTAGTGTAAGAACATTTATAGGAACTTTATGCAAGAAAACAAAAAACTAGAAAAGGTCCAGGTTTCCATGATTAGGTAAGCATACTATACTCACGATTCGCAGTAAAAAGGAACTGTATACATGGCTAAAACACAAGTTTTTATCTTGGTACAATACACATTTCTCACAGTTCATAAAATGGCACACTTAATACTTTAAGATTTCAGATTTAAATGTTATCTTGAAAATCAATAAAAGTTGAATTAATTGATACAAAAGTCTAAATTATATTTCAGGGAAGTATACTGATATGTGCAACATAAAGTATTGATGGGATGGGTAGACTGATGTTTTTCTGGAACAGTTTAAGTGTAGGGCTGGCTGGGCATGGTCACTTTTGAAGGCCAAAGTGGGCGGACCACATGAGGTTAAGAGTTTGAGACCAGGGTGGCCAACATGGTGAAAACCCCTCTACTAAAATACAAAAATTAGCTGGGTGTGGTAGTGCATTGCATACCTGTAATACTAGCTGAGGTAGGAGAATCACTTGAACCTGGGAGGCGGAGGTTGCAGTAAGCAGAGATGGCACCACTGCACTCCCACCTGGGCAAGAGTGAGACTGTCTCAAAAAAAAAAAAAAAAAAAAGGTAGAGCTGAGACTATTTTCAGAATGACAATACTTTAAGGCTTTCTCTGCCATCTTAATGCTCAGCTGCTTTCTCCATGTGATGAGTTCTGTTCAACTGACTACATAAACCCAAATGCAATGTCATTTTAGATGCAAATGATCAATTAGAGTCAGATATACACAGGACACTACGTAAAGCAGAGAAACTGAAAACTAAATTCAGAAGCATATTATTACACGCATTGCTTGGCCCACAGTATCTGGAATCCACAGCCACAACTGAGTTGTTGCTGACCTGCTTTTTAAGCAGGAATTAAGTAAAAGCACTACAGTTGATTCCTGGTATTTAACCTCTGCTTCTTAGGTGTGTGATTGTTCTTCCATTTAATTTTTAGAGTGAGGACTGAACGAAGTCATCGACATTACCCCTCAAGCTCACTCTCAAAAAAGGAGGCCTAGTCACATGAACAGCCTCAATGGCTCAGGACATTCCTATGCAACTGATTAAGTGCAATCAATGCAACAGAGCTAGTGTTTGGGGGAAGGGGGACATGAGAAACACTTAAAAACATAAACCCCTAATTTCTAAAGGCAAAAAAGAGCCCCTTGCCACAAAAAAAAAGATGCCATGTTAAAGTTTTATTAAGTTTTAATACAAAACATTCCAAAAAGTGAAGAAATCTAAATACCCAAGTTCAACTACCAGTTAAACAAGAAAAACATTTTCTGTATCATTCTGTTTTACAACCAGTATAAACCCAAAGAATCAAGATCTGATTCTTTTTCCACACATCTGCTAGGTCAGTAAACTATTTATCAAACAGGTATCTGGTCATTTTAACATACTCCTTGCTTTGAAGTTAACATTCATTTATATTTGGTACAATCTCTATATCCTATATTATCTTTAGGATATCTAAATATCTTAAATATTTAGGGTATCTCAAGAGCCAAAAGGTCCTCACAGAAGCTTTAACCCCAGTAATCGTAAGAGTATGGAAGACTGGGCTAAGACAACTATGGAAGCGCAACAACCACATAAATTTGGTCACTACCCTTGTGGTCTGTTGATTAGTAGTTGTCTTTCAAATGAGTGTTTAAAATGTTGTACCTACTCTCCCTAGTTGCAAATGTTAAAACAGGACAGTGCCATAATTACAACAAAAAAAATCTTGTAAGTTGAGTTAGTTCCTCTACTCCAACAACTCAAGTCTGTTTCCTTTCAGAACATTATGCTATTGGCTCTAGTCTCCAAAGCAATAAACTAAAACTTGTTTCCCAGACTGGGACATAAAGCAGGCTTATAGAACAATACAGTAAACGAAAGCCAAGTGGCCTAATTATTTCCAGTGTGCTTGCCATCTCAGCATGGTTGTTACTTTCCAGATGTCACTGTTTTATTCTACAACTAAACTGTTTCTGGATTAAGCTACCACCAAAAAATGTTTCACTTACTGACAAACACTTCACTAGATAGAGCTACCACTTATATCCATCATTTTTATAATTCAACTTAAGTTCTAAATTGTTGTCCCCATGACTTTAGCTAAACAAAATGAAAGCCAAAGCTGTACAATCTATGTAAAGAACCACAAGAACTTCCTGACTACCTCCATTTACCAACTTCCTTAATTACTTCCCCTTCTCCATTTGGTCAGTTACTTGTTTTAAGTAACTACCACTCACTCCCTAGTTATGAGTGTTAATCAACACTTATGCCTTCCTCAGATCCACAGGAACCCCTAAAGGCAAAAATCTATTGCCTGCACCCAACCAATTCTGACAGTGCTGCTTGTGCAACTGTAGTGACTTATCGACAATCAGCCGCCTTCTGCTTCAACAACTCTGTAAAATGAAAAACATGGGATCTTGTTACGTGGTATTTGTATTACTGCGAAGTACTTCCCCACTCCCAAACTATTTTTTAAATATACGCTTTCGCCGGGCGCGGTGGCTCAAGCCTGTAATCCCAGCACTTTGGGAGGCCGAGGCGGGTGGATCACGAGGTCAAGAGATCGAGACCATCCTGGTCAACATGGTGAAACCCCGTCTCTACTAAAGGTGCAAAAAATTAGCTGGGCGTGGTGGCGCGTGCCTGTAATCCCAGCTACTCCGGAGGCTGAGGCAGGAGAATTGCCTGAACCCAGGAGGCGGAGGTTGCGGTGAGCCGATATCGCGCCATTGCACTCCAGCCTGGGTAACAAGAGCGAAACTCCGTCTCAAAAAAAAAAAATAAAATAAAATAAAATAAAATAAAATAAAATAAAATAAAATAAATATACGCTTTCTTGTTGCTTTAGCTTAAAATAGAAGCATATGCTTTAAAACCAAGCTCTGGCTTGGTGCAGTAGCTGACGCCTTAATCCCAGCACTTTGGGAGGCCGAGACAGGTGGATCACTCAACGTCAGGAGTTCGAGACCAGCCTGGCCAACATGGTGAAACCCCATCTCTACAAAAAAAATACAAAGATTATTAGCCAGGTATGGTGGCACACACCTGTAGTGCAGTGAGTTGATATCAAATCACTGCATTCCAGCTTGGGTGACAGGAAGACACCATCCCAAAAAAACAGCTGGATGCAGTGGCTCATCTGAGGTTAGGAGTTTGAGACCGGCCTGGCCAACATGGTGAAACCTCGTCTCTACTAAAATTACAAAAAACTAGCCAGGCATCGTGGGGGGCACCTCTAATCCCATCTACTTGGGAGGCTGAAGCAAGAGAATCCCTTAAACCCAGGAGGAGGAGGTTGCAGTGAGCTGAGATCATGCCATTGCACTCCAGCCTGGGCAACAAGAGCGAAACTCTGTCTCAAAAAACAAACAAAAAAATACAAACCCCACACAAGCTCTAAAAAGCAACCATAGGCCAGGCACAGTGGCTCACACCTGTAATCCCAGCACTTTGGGAGGCCAAGGCAGGTAGATCAACAAAGTGAGATGCCATCGAAAAGAAAAGAAACCAACTATAAATACCCCATTACAATTATCATAGGCATCAGCTTGGTACTATTAAAATTACATAGTAGGTCATCATTATGTCAATAAAATTATATTAATCAAACAGGCAACTTGCAGTCACAGCTGCATCATCAACTCCACATTTGGTCAATTTGTATTGCAGCTGTGCAAATGAGCAGGCACTAGTAACAACGAAGCATATCCTTTTACAAAATACACTGAGCAAACTTTTTTTTTCTTTCTCTTCTCGACACGGAGTCTTGCTCAGTCGCCCAGGCTGGAGTGCAATGGCATGATCACGGCTCACTGCAACCTCCACCTCCTGGGTTCAAGAGATTCTGGTGCCTCAGTCTCCCAAGGAGCTAGGACGAAAGCACGTGCCACCACACCTGGCTAATCTGTATTTTTAGTAGAGACGGGGTTTCACCATGTTGGCCAGACTGGTCTCAAATTTCTGACCTCAGCATTTGCCCCGCCTTGGCCTCCCCAAGTGCTGGGATTATAGACATGAGCCTAAGTGTATACTTCCTGTTAAGAATGCTTGCATATGCAGAGCTATTAGCAAGCTTTACAGGTTCAAAAATAACTAAGAATAATCACGAGTGAGCCACACTCATGGAAACGTAACTTCTCTACATTCACAATGAATGTGCCAGGTATTACACATTAAAGCACTTAATTATTACATCTTCAATTCCAAGTGGTAGTCCCTTTTACAGACCAAGTGAGAACCACGAGTTTAACAACTTTCCAATGTCACAGCTAAACTAAGTGGTAGTTACACAGCATTTAAACTTTCAAAGGCCACTGCTTTCAAAACTTACCTGAGCCTTTGATTTCTCTTACTGCCAGCTTTATCTACTGTGAATAAATCAGCACTCCACGACCATAATGAGCATAATCCTCAACCTGCAAAAGTTAAATAAACGAAAACTAGTTATCTCTCTTAAGGAAATTCTTTAAAACTTGCCTATTACTGCCCTCTTTTCCAGAAAGAAAAGGCAAGTTCAGACTTGCAGCTTAACATATTTCATGTTCTACTACTTCTCTTAAGTGGTGGAAGATTCACTGGCTTGGGATGGACTGGAATGGCTTAAATGGTTAAGTTGCATGGCTTATGGATTGTCATTCTGTTCCAATGGTGCACTGCCACGTTAAATCCATAAGTTGAACGAACAAAACTTATTTGAAGGAATAAGTGCAGTATAAGGATTTTTAGTTGGAGGTCTTCAAGTTTACTATATTCAAGAGCATCTTTTTCAACTTCATGGCTGGACCTGGGTCATGCTGCCTCAGGTTTTGCTTTTTAAAGACCACTTGCAATACATTTTCTCCATACAGTGTAGTTTCATAGAACTAAAAACAAGTCAGGCATCCAACTAAATGTTAAGTTTGTAATGGCTTACAGGGGTAAAAAGGGGGACCCCAAACTTAAGCCATTTCCTATATTGACTAAAAGACTAATTTGAAAAAAAAAAAAAAAAAAAAAAAAAAGTAAAAACGTATGAAGCATGTTTAAAGGTCTTCATCAAAAATGGATTTTGAAAAAATACCCTCCCCCAAGCCCCAGATCGCTATTGGTAAACAACAGCTCTATTATTAAAGCCTTAATTGTCACACATGCTTTAAAAAAAAAAAAAAAAAAAAAAAAAAAAAAAAATCCAAGTGTTGAATTTGGAGGACTTCTAATATGCTATTGAATATTTGTTTTTTCCAAGTTTTTTTTTAAATCTAGAAGGCATTTCCATTGCCATGAGGTACAGTATGTTTCACTGTACTATGAGGAAGGTAAGTGTTCAATTTCGACTTAGACGGAAAAACTAGTTTGCTTTGCTTACCATCTTTGCTGTTTCACAGGCATTTGATGCTTTAAATCTGATGTGGAATGCTGATAGATTCACTTTTTAGAAGTCATAAGCCTTTAGGAAGTTGGAGATAACTTCATTGCTTATCTATTTTCTCCTTTGCAATCAAGCTGTTCCTTTAAAAGTGAGACACTACAGAGTTGCAAAAATTTGAAACAGTAAGAGCAAGCACCTTTGCAGCTTCATGGTTGGTTTTGGCCAAACTTTTTATTTAGTATTCTGTAGTTGTTTAACACACACTTAAATGGTCTTATTGGGGGAGGGGGAAGGGGAGGTTCTTGCAGATTCCCAAGGAAATGTCAGAAAGGCAAAATGGCCAGCATTATCCATTTGCATTTTTGGGTTTACTGGGTGATTATTTCCTTACATAGGCATCTGATTTCAGGTTTTTCATACTGAGATCATGGAGGTTTTAGTTGGAAGACACCCTGAAATCTTATGAGTAGCATACCCCAACCACCCTCTAACAGCTAGTTTGTTTGTATAGGCAGAATGATTCATCTCTCCATTTTAGATGGCTAGATGTTTTGTGGAAGATCTTAGAATTGCTTGCCTCACTTACTGGGAAAAATCATATAGGAAGTGGCCTTTAGGGACACTTTAACTTGGAAAGTTACAACACTAGTACAACAAGTCTTAACACATTTAACATTTGCTTGTTGAAAAGCAATGTCATAAAATCAAATAATATTAAACATGTTTTACTTTTTTCCTCACAAGAACATAAAAATTATGGAGGGGAACTTAACAGGGAATTTAAAAAAGGTAACACAATTTTTCTTTTTAGTAGTCCTTGGGTAGTTATGACAGAATAGTTTCCACTTTTTGTTTGTTTCTTTGAACTGGGATTTTGGTCCAAAGTTTTGTTTGTTTCTAGTATCTGCTTCTGCCTCCCCCTCTATCAGATCGGCTTCCTCCACGGCCACCACCTCTTGGTGCTCCGCGGCTTGAACTGCTGTAGGAATCACGTGGAGGAGGGTACCCCCTTTCCATAGAAGGGGGAAGCCCTCTGTCTTGTCTGCCAACCCGATCACGACCACTTGAGTAGAGATCACTTCGGCTGCTTGAGTAACTGTCTCGACTTCCACCATATCCGTCACGTGAGCTGCTGTAATCATCATAGCGACTGCTTCCACCATAAGATGGCGGGGGCCCTCGTGTAGGTGGAGCACTACGTGAGTTACCTGCAGGGTCAATGGTCAGGTAATATGGCAACACTATAAATTGTATATATACAACATTTTAAATCTGAATTTACAGAATTCTTGTATTAAAAGTTTACTTTCTCAACTGGGTGGGAGGTTTTAAACTCTGCCATTGCTGGCCATAACAGGGATTTGCTCATCTGCTGAGATATGGAAATGGATTCATTTTAATGTTTGTTTGAAAAGACTGAAGACGGTGTGTATTTCAAGAGGATATTCCAGAGAGCTTGTTATTTTATAGTAGACACTCAGCCACTTTCCAGTGATAAGTTGCAATTTTGAACTGTAGAACTTGCCTTCATATTGCAATGGTAAATATTTGATCTTGTTAATAAATATTTTTTAATTGCATTTTCACTGTTGGGGGAAAACACATAAGGCTGCCAATTTAAGCAAGCAAAATCCCCTCCAAAGCAAGCAAACAGCCTCAAAAGAAACTTAGAAAAACAAAAAAAGCCCCTCACAAAAACTAGGAAAAGCCCAGCTGATAAAGTTACCCCCTTTAAAAGCAAGCAAACATCCCTTTAAAAGCAAGCACCACGCAGCCTAATAAACTGGCTCACGAACCTAAAAACTCAAGCCGGTGATACTCAAGACCCTTAACCAGTATCTTACCATAACTCTCATATGAGTCTCTGTAGGAACCTCCACTTGGATGATCTGAATAGTCACGATCACGACCATATCCATCTCTGTCGCTAAATTAAAGAGAAAGGTAAGTCCCAGAGCATCAACTTTCATAGTGATTTTTCTTACACGCAAGCCACAGAAGCAGTCACTTACCTATAGCCTCTTGATGGATAGTCATCACGTGAACTGGAATGACCATAGTCACGGTAAGTATAATCTCGTGGTGGTGGTGCATAATCTCTTGTATCACGAGAACTTGGGTAATCTCTGCTGGAATAGCTACAAAAACACAAGTTTTGGTTTGTGCTTTTGATAAGCTTTCTTTTCATTATTAATAAACAAGCTGCACTTGTTACCTGTCTTTAGTAGAATACCCATCATCTCTTGGGGACAAATAAACATCTCTACGAGAAGGCAGCGGTTCTCTTCGAGGTGGACCTCCGTAACTATCTCTTCCACGTGATACAGGAGCTTAAGGAAAAAAAAAAAATTAAACACAGAGAAAAAAGTTTAAAACGTGAACTTAAATTCAGGCCTTGAAAAGTAATGAGACTGACTTCAAAGATGACATTATGGAGGCTAGATCTAATTTTATTTTCTAGAATTTCCCATTCACATTTTAGATTTTTTTCAGTGCTCACTAATTCCATGTCTCTAGATCACCTAGAACCCAATGATTATTATTATTATTTTTTTTTTTTGAGACAGAGTTTCGCTTTCTCCCAGGCTGGAGTACAGTGGCTCGATCTCAGCTCAAAGCGACCTCTGCCTTCCAGTTTCAAGCAATTTTCCTGCCTCAGCCTCCAGAAAAGCTGGGATTACAGGTGCCCACCACCATGCCCATCTAATTTTTGTACTTTTAGTACAGATAGGGTTTCACCACGTTGGCCAGGCTGGTCTCGAATTCCTGACATGGTGACCCACCTACCTCGGCCTCCCAAAGTGCTGGGATTACAGGCATGAGCTATCCTGCCCGGCCTCTATGATTAAAGTTTTAGGCATCACTCACCTCTCAATTTTTTGTGTTATAGCAGTATTACAGATTGTCATACATGGAACATTTGCATTTACCTCTTCCTCCCATTCCACTGCTGCTGCGAACTGGTCCTGAAGGTGCAGATCTCTTAGGAGGAGGACCCCCACTTCTTGGTGGTGGTCCTCTTTTTACTGGGAGTGGTCCCCTGGAAGAACTCATGTTAAAATTCATGGAATAGCCACCGTCATCTACATTAGAATAGAAAAGAAAAATGTTACTACTCACAGGAATCAAGGACGCTATAGAAGTTTTTTTTTTTTTTTTTTGAGCTGTCACCCAGGCTGTAGTGCAGTGGCACAACTCAGCTCACTGCAACTTCTGCTGGAGTTCAAGCAATTCTCCTCCCTCAGCCTCTCAAATAGCTGGGATTACAGGCACATGCCAACATTCCCTGCTAATTTTTTTTTTTTTTTTTTTTTTTTTCCAGTAGAGAGGGAGTTTCACCATGCTAGCCAGCCTGGTCTCGAACTCCTGACCTCAAGTGATTCGCCCACCTTGGCCTCCCCAAACTGCTGGGATTACAGGTGTGAGCCACTGCACCTGGCCGCTGTAAGTTTTCTTTGCTTCAATAAGAACATAACCATCATTGGGCCAGGCCCAATGGGTCGCACCTGTAATCCCAACACTTTGGGAGGATAAGACGGGTGGATCACCTGAGGTCAGAAGCTGAAGACCAGCCTCACATGGTGAAACCCCGTCTCTACTAAAAATGCAAAAATCAGCCAGCCCTGGTGGCACATGCCTGTAATCCCAGCTACTGGGGAGGCTGAGGCAGGAGAATCACTTGAACCTGGGAGGCAGAGATTGCAGTGAGCCAAGATCCCACCACTGGGTAACAATAGTGAAACTGTCTCAAAATAAATATATATATATACATATGGCCATTATTTAGTTGGGTAGTCTAGTTTCATTTGTACTTGACAGAGCATGCAGTGCGGTCATACAGACTGGGGAAGTAAGAACTGAAGGTAGTCTTAAACTTTTTCATTTTTGAGGAGTCTTGCTGTGTCACCCAGGATGGAGTGCAGTAGCGTGACCTTGGCTCACTGCAACCTCTGCCTCCTGGGTTCAAGCGATTCTCCTGCCTCAGCCTCCCAAGCAGCTGGGTTTACAGGCGTGGGCCATCACACCCAGCTAACTTTAAAAAATAAAAATTACTTCCATGTCCAACATCTAGGCCTATCAAAAATTTTTAAATGTCTTTCTTACAAAGTGAACTACTTGGACAAGGACACTGTACACAATTTAACACTGGAACATGTGTCCTATGCTTTCAAGTGGCAATCACTTTGTCAGACGAACAAGTGTTGTCAATTTTAAAAGTTGGTGCCTTTCCTCAAGGACTTAACCAAAACATCTACTTGGTATGAGTTTGCAGTCCCTGACTTATACATTAAGCCCGAGATCCATGCAAGTCATTACCCATGTGTCCTCCCCGTGAGGGAGGTCCCCTGGTTCCTCCACTTCCTCCTCTTCCACCTCTAAGACCTCTTGGAGGGCCTCTACTTCTTGGAGGTGGAGGTGGCCCACGTCTACCACTTTCAAATGATGGTTTGGTGGCTTGTTCCACTTTGATGGCTTTTCCGTCTAATGACTGCAAAAAAAGATATGGTTAAATTAAATCAAGATTTAAAAATAATTTGCACATCTATGCACTAAGACACTAACAGGTCCTTTAAAATGCAGTTATGGATAAGTGTTGCTCATTAATTAGTTGAAGAAAAAACACTGCAAATACAGTCAGTTTATATAAATGAGGCTTTTCCACCTAAAATTCTTAATACTTAAAAATGATACTGATGGGCCAGGCACGGTGGCGCACACCTGTAATCCTGGCACTTTGGGAGGCCGAGGCGGGTGGATCACCTGAGGTCAGAGGAGTTGCTGTTTGGTAAAATTTAAAACAAGGCCAAGTAGATGATAGCCTGTTATCAAAACTAAAAGCCAAGTTATCAAAATATGACTTAGGGATCTCAAGATAAAATGTATCATTATGGTAGGACACAGTGGCTCATGCCTGTAATCCCAGCACTTTGGGAGGCTGAGGCAGGTGGATCACTTGAGGCCAGGTGTTTGAGACCATCCTGGCCAACACGGTGAAACCCCCGTCTCTACTAAAAATACACAATCAGCCCGATGTGGTGTTGGATGCCTGTAATCCCAGCTACAGGGAGGCTGAGGCAGGAGAATCACTTAGAACCCAGGAGGCAGAGGTTGCAGTGAACAGAGTTCACACCTTTGCACTCTAGCCTGGGCAACAGAGAAATACTGTCTCAAAAAAAAAAAAAAAAGCATCATGTAATGACATAATTATTTTGAACTGAGAGTATGTTGTTAACAGCATAAGATATAATTCACTACTAGATTTGGTTCTGGAATTACAGAATATTCTTTGGAAGAGGATCACAAAGGGTAGGATCAGTGGGGTCCCAGACAGGTACATACTGAAAAACAATGAAAACTCAAAAGCTGTCCTAGTCCAGACTGGGGCAACTACATGTTATTTTACGCACTAGTAACAGGTTATCATACATTGTATAGACAATCTCACCTTTCCATTCATGTCTCTGGCTGCATCCTTAGCGTCTGCTGGGCTTTCAAAGGTGACAAAAGCAAATCCTCTTGATTTGTTGGTTTCACGGTCTTTCATCAAGAGTACTAAAAAGTAGTTTTCAGAAAATTAAGTATTACCCTAGTTCAAATGAAATAACCAAGGTAAATGTGTAAAGAGAAAGCTCAGAACTTCTTAGAGGACAAAATACATTATCACGTCAGATGATCAATGCAATCAAATTCATCATAGCTTATGTTTTAATTATTATAGCCCAGCCTGTACTTCCAGACAACTCACCTTCCACTATTCGTCCATATTTGCCAAATACTGCTTCAAGAGCTTTCTCATTTGTTTCCGTATTAAGCCCACCAATGAAGAGCTTTCCTGGGCGATCTGCTTCAACCATTTTTTTTTGTGTTTTTTTTTTTGTTTGTTTTTTTGCCGGTAAGTCTGTTGAGAAGGAATAGTATTACCTCACTGCAAAAAGTTCCTCAAGTTTATTCAACACTTTTACTGTGGCATATTTTTCATATTTTCCACTAAAGCCATTGTTTCTTAATGACTAAAGAAAACCCTAACAAGCTAAGCCTCAGGGAAGCAATTTGAATTAAGTAGTTTAGTAAGTGTAATTTACATAAAACTGGTGAAAAGGGCCAAAATCACTTTTACCACTACCCTTGATCACCCTTAGCTATTCTTCGCAACAGCTGCTTAACATTTGAGAAAGCAACTTTCAGTTTTAGTCCTGTATTTCCGTCGCCTTTGAAAGATTCAATTATTCATCACACCCTTCCTAAGGATGGGGTTTTAAAAGACTCCCAAGGTCACAGGCCAGACACACGACCTTATCAACAAGCACTCTTCCAAACGATTCCTCTTTTCCTCATTAGAATTACCTACTAAATCTAGGGAGAAATGTGAAGTTTGAGCCAAGTTATGCCACCTCTTCTTCACCGGTCCCCGCCCTACCGAAAATGCTACTATCCGGCCAAAAAGATAAAAACAAATTGTCAACACTGTTTCCTATTAAGTAACGGAACGCGGACGCACACACTTAACACTCGACACTCCGTGACTGCAGCGGAACCTAATTAAAACTCGTCATTAAAAACCGCGTGTAAAAGACAAAATGGCGACACTTGGATTCAACCCAGAACCACCGACACCGGCAAGGAGACTAACTTTTACCACCAACACTGACTGTGCACATTCAGAGGGGTTCATCTCCGGTACCGCCAAGGAATACCGAGCCCGCAGCCCGCATTGAAGTCCACATGCCCATCATTAGCGCCAGCGCCATCCCAATGCAGGTATCGCGGTGGTGCAGTCGCTCCTCGCCCGGCTCCAGCCTACAAAGCCCCGACCTCCGCTACCCACTCCCGCAGGCTACTGCCAAACTTTCTCGAGAGGCAAACAACCAAACGGGCCCCCTCATTTGTTTTCCCTCGACCCCCTCTGCTTTATTTAAATAGGTCGGCACCTTTGGGTTCTTAAAATGGCGCCCGCCACCCCCATCTCCTGAGAGATATAATCCCCAGTCCTAACACGACGAGAGTGTCACCAAAAACAGACTGAGGAAAGGAGACACGTACCGGAGGAGTGACAATGGGTTCAAGCTCCAACGAGCTCGCCGAGAGAGGCTTCCTAGCAGCTTAGCACCAAAAGCGGCTGCCGGGTCCGAGTACCGAAACGCGAAGCCGCTAGCACTACTGCGCAACGAGGACGAACAAAGGAGACAGCAAACTTTATACTGCCCGGGAACGAGGCTGAAAGACCCGGATGGAAACGGAGCTTAGAATTTGAAACGCAAAGGGAGGGGTGAAGTAGTTCCCAGTCTCCCCATTGGCTGCCTCCTCTGTCGTTCACTCTTCGCTCCTCCCATTTTCCCGAGCCCTCGTAGTTGGGTCGGCGGACCTTTCTAACCGTTTTCCCTACCCCCACCCGTTCTTTACAAACGCGCTTTTTTGGCTTGTAGCTAAAATGGTGCACAGGCTTCATTTAATAAAGAATTGTATTGAGCGTCCTAGTGGACCGGGCACAGTGCAAAACTTTACTTTTACTTTTTCACTAACTCTTTTAATTGTCAAAACAATGTGATGAGGGTAGATACTCCTATGCCAATTTTGCAGAAACAGAAAACAAAGAAGTTTTGGCAATACAATATATTTTCCAAAATTGTCTTAAATAAGTGATTTCAGTGGATGTGGGAATTTCTGATAAATACATGTAAATTTCAGATGAGTAAAAAACGTACAAAACAGCATGCAGACAGTTCATTCATACACAACAATTACTGAGCACCTTGTAAATAATGAGCTCTGGGCTAGGCCGGGAGGATACAACTTCAGGAAAAGACAAAAGTCAAGTCTGTGAGTAAGGGTGTTGGATTTAAGAAATGAGGCCGGGCGCGGTGGCTCAAGCCTGTAATCCCAGCACTTTGGGAGGCCGAGGCGGGTGGATCACGAGGTCGAGAGATCGAGACCATCCTGGTCAACATGGTGAAACCCCGTCTCTACTAAAATACAAAAAATTAGCTGGGCATGGTGGCACGTGCCTGTAATCCCAGCTACTCAGGAGGCTGAGGCAGGAGAATTGCCTGAACCCAGGAGGCGGAGGTTGCGGTGAGCCGAGATCGCGCCATTGCACTCCAGCCTGGGTAACAAGAGCGAAACTCTGTCTCAAAAAAAAAAAAAAAAACAAAAACAAACAAACAAACAAAAAAAAGAAATGAAAATACAGGACGCTAATTTATTTTGGGAAGCTATCAAAAAATTTTTAAATACACATATGGGACGATTAAGTTTAAATTTCAGATAACGAATACTTTTTTCGTATAGTATGTCCCAAATCTCATATTTTAAAAGTTCGCTGTTCATTGGAAATTCAAATTTAACTAGGTATTCTATATTTCATCTGTGCATCCTACTTGTTGGAGGAATATTACAAAACTTTTTAATTTACTTTTTCTTTTTTTTTTTTTTTTTTTGAGACGGAGTTTCGCTCTTGTTACCCAGGCTGTAGTGCAATGGCGCGATCTCGGCTCACCGCAACCTCCGCCTCCTGGGCTCAGGCAATTCTCCTGTCTCGGCCTCCTGAGTAGCTGGGATTACAGGCACGCGCCACCATGCCTAGCTAATTTTTTGTATTTTTAGTAGAGACGGGGTTTCACTATGTTGACCAGGATGGTCTCGATCTCTTGACCTCGTGATCCACCCGCCTTGGCCTCCCAAAGTGCTGGGATTACAGGCTTGAGCCACCGCGCCCGGCCTAATTTACTTTTTCTATTAAAGAAAGAAATTGGGCGGAGCGCCACAGCTCACGCCTGTAATCCCAGCACTTTGGGAGACCGAGGCGGGTGGATCACGAGGTCACGAGATCGAGACCAGCCTAACCAACATGGCGAAAATACAAAAATTAGCTGGCCGTGGTGGCACACGCCTGTAATCCCAGCTACTCAGGAGGCTGAGGCAGGAGAATTGCTTGAATTCGGGAGGCAGAGGTTGCAGTGAGCTTAGATCGCACTACTGCACTCCAGCCTGGGTGACAGAGTAAGACTCTGTCTCTAAAAATAAAAATTAAAAAATTAAAAAACACCTAATACCCAAGGAGATGGCATTAGGAGGAGGGGATTTGGAGAGAAGATTAGGTCACAAGGGTGGGGTCCTCATGAATGGGTTTAGCACTTTTATAAAAGGTGCCTCTGTCTACCATGTGAGAACACAGTGAGAAGGTACCACTTTATGAACCAGAAAACTGGTGGTAGTGGGCCCTCACCAGACACTGATTATGCTGGCATCTTGATCTTGGAATTCCCAACCTCCAAAAATGTGAGAAATAAATTTCTATTGTTTATCAACCTGCCAGTTTATGGTATTTTGTTATAGTGGGAGGAATGGACTAAGACAGATGGGAAAGGGGTGGGGAGGAATTGCAGAAACAGAAAATCATTATGGATGACTCCAAGTATTAGTGTGACAGATGGTAATAGTCATTAACCAAAATGGTTTCAGAGGAGCAAGTTTGGGATGTAGGAGCAGAAAAATTTGAAACTCAGAGCAGAGATCTGTGCTAAATTATCATCTCAGAGATGTAATAAAAGCCATCATAATGGATGAAACCACCAAAGAAGAGAGTACAGTCATAAAAGAAGGCCCAAGATCACACAATATGAGCTATTAAAAAAATATGCATGGAGACAAAATAACGGGGGAAATGTAACCAGTGTATCTTGGAATGGTAGAATTTATGGATAATTTTCACTTTTCTTCTTCTTTCTTTCTTTCTCTCTTTCTTTCTTTCTTTCTTTTTTTTTTTTTTTTTTTTTTTTTTTTTTTTTTTTTTTTTGAGAAGGAGGTTCTCTCTTGTTACCCAGGCTGGAATGCAATGGCACGATCTTGGCTTACTGCAACTGCAACCTCCACCTCCCAGGTTCAAGCAATTTTCCTGTCTCCACTTCCTGAGTAGCTGGGATTACAGGCATGCACCTCCATGCCTGGCTAATTTTGTGTTTTTAGTAGAGATGGGGTTTCACCATGTTGGCCAGGCTGGTTTCGAACTCCTGACCTTGTGAACCACCCGCCTCAGCCTCTCAAAGTGCTGGGATTACAGCCGTGAGCCACCGTGCCAGCCCTTCTTTTCCTCTTAGTTACAATTACCTGCCCGTGGTGAATTTTGGTACATGCCATGCAGGTTATAGTAAATAATGCTCAGGTCATGGGTAAAAGCCACCAAGGAGCTTTGAAACCAGCTGTGCATTATTCACATTTATAGGGGGAATAATGCCCAGTAGGACAAGAATATTTGTTCTTGTTTTTTTTTCCCCCAGCCAAATAATAAAAAATAAGGCAAAATTCATGTCCATTTGCCTTTTGAATGAGTTATGTAAATTATCGACTCTGGAACCATCTGGGAATTGGCAAAAATGACTTAAATACCAGGCAAGCAGAACCTGTACCCCTAGAGGAAGCCAGGACAAGTCCCTCACCCTGTGGAGGCAGGCACTCTCTTTCTCTGTCTCAAATCCAAAGAGACTACAGGACCAGGATCTGAGTGTAAATCAGGTCTCCTCCAGCACACGGCAGAATGGAGCAGGCTCCACAATAGATATACCTATCCCCTTGGATCTCAAACAGGAAATGTGCATCCCCGTAGACCAGCTCACTTTGGCCTCTGCAGTTCATACCCAGGAATGTAGGGGAGGAGAAGTAGCCTGCTGGCAATGTTGGGGGCAAACAGCACTTCCAAGGATCAAAAGCGAGTGGGTGGGGCAGGGATGGCTAGTTAAAGAAACTGTAGGAGGGAATCAGTTGACCGTATCATCCAGTAGGGACACAGAGAAAAAAGAAGCTTGAAGGGGAAGCAGAGTGCTACTGACTAGATCTGGAGAGCAATAGAGACGGGAATTTATTTTTTGCTCTTTTGCCCAGGCTGGAGTGAAGTGGTGCAATCTCAGCTCACTGCAACCTCCGCTCCCTGGGTTCCAGTGATTCTCCTGCCTCAGCCTCCCAAGTAGCTAGGATTACAGGTGCTCCCCCCCCCACCACACCCGGCTAATTTTTATACCTTTAGTGGAGAGGGGGTTTCACCATGTTGGCCAGGCTAGTCTCGAACTCCTGACCTCGTGATCCACCCACCTCGGCCTCCCAAAGTGCTGGGATTACAGGCATGAGCCACCGAGCCCAGCCAAGACAGGGGAGCCTTTTTAAGAGATGGAGCAAAGTTAATCAAATTTCATCTTAATGAGATTACTGTGGTTGCAGTCTGGAGACTGTATTGGGGGAGGGAGAGACAGGAAGCAGGGAGACAGCTCAGAAGGGTATTGCTGATGTAATGCAGGAGGGGGGGACGTGGGCGTGCTGAGTGTGAGGGACTCTGGCCAACAGGCAGTTGGATAAGCAGGTCTCACACTGCCCAAAAGTAATTTCCAAATCCCATGCCTCCTCCTCATGGATCTTCTAGATTTCTCCCTTTGCCTCTTTCTATTTACTCTTTTAGATTGTCATTAAATGTAATTACATTTTTCTCTTTACTATAATTTTTCCTTTGCTTCATTGTTTTCTCTTCAGATGCCATCTCAGTGATAGATGGATGCATTGAATCAAATGATATTACTTCACTACTAGGTAACCTTGGAATATAATCAGCGCTAAATACATGGCTGAACTGACTTGCAAGCTCTTCTTATTCTTCATGGCACTTAGCATGAGATGGGTGCACTGAAAGTATTTATTTTATTTTGTTTTATTTTTGAGATGGAGTCTCACTTTGTCGCCCAGGCTGGAGTGCAGTGGTGCAATCTCAGCTCACTGCAACCTCCACCTCCCTGGTTCAAGCGATTCTCCTGCCTCAGCCTCCTGATTAGTTGGGACTACAGGCATGTGCCACCATGCCCGGCTAATTTTTTTGGATCTTTAGTAGAGATGGGGTTTCACCATGTAGGTCAGGCTGTATCGAACTCTTGACCTTAGGTGATCCACCCGCCTCGGCCTCCCAGAGTGCTGGGATTACAGGCTTGGGCCACCACACCCTCCTGGAAGTATTTAATAAATACAGGTGGCCTTAAATCTGGATTTAATTACAAAGGGTCCATATTTCACACTAAAAAAGGAAAAATAATAAGCAAACCTGTAGTTTTAAAAGTTGTAACCAATTCAATTTAAGAAATAACCTTTCGGTCATCAAACCAGGAATTGCTGCAATGAGTAGACTGAATCTCTCCTGTCGGGCTTGCATTTTTACAGGAAGGGCATTTGTATGGTCACTCTGTTTCCAGTTATGCTTGTTCTCCAAAGTGCAGA